CATGTCCTTTGCTTTCCGTGCTCTGCATTCCCGCTGAGGAAGGCAGGAGGCAGGAGCCCCCGTCGCTGCAGCAGGTCACGGCCGAGGCCTGGCCGAGGGCGCCAGGTTGACGTCTCTGCCCGTCACCTCCCCGGCCGTGCGCGGAGCCGCTGCCCCTCCCCGCCGAGCTCCTGTCCCAGCTCTTTTTATGGCGCTGGGCAGAGAAAGGTCAGTGCATCTTGGCGAGGTTTCTGAGCTGGAACAAGAACAAGTGCTTGTAAAGGCTCCTTGGAGAAGAAACCTGGAGGAAAAAAAATAAAAATAAAAGGAAAAGAGGAAATGGGGTAAAGCCCTTATCTTTTGCAAGGATTTCAAAATGGAATTGCACACAGGCGGCTGAAGGGGAGCTGGGAAACTGCAAGGCTGCCTGGAACTGGGGGCACGTCCTGGGGCTGCTCATGGCACCACGGCCGCTGGGTGCCCCCCTGCTGCAGGCTCCGATGGAGCCGCTCGGATGGAGCCTGCTCGGAGTTTCCGAGGAATTTAGTGTGCATCTCTCCTGCAGTGTTTCCATCTCAGTGCCTTGGCAAACCGGAGCAGAAGGCTGCGGCGGGGGGATTCTTTCCCGCTCCGCTCTGCTCTGCTCCTGGCTCCTCTGTGGCCTTGCATTTACCCCAGCCGGGCGCCGGGGCAGGAATGAAGCACCGCGACGGGAAGCGCTGGCTGCGGAGGGAGCGCGCGGTCTCCTGCTGCAAAAGCAGGTCCTGCCCCATCAGCAAAGAGAAAAGGGCTGGAAGCGAGGGCGGCGTTGTGCCCGCGTGGGGCAAAGGACGCCCGTTTTTGGTGGGCCCGTGTCTCTATTCTGGTCACGTGTGTGTGAAATCGGAAAGCAGCTTTCTGCAAAATGGCCTAGAAAACCCAAGGAGCAGGAGGGAGCCAGCCAGATTTAGCCAAGGAAAAAGCAAATACTCCTTGACTTGGAGAGATCTCTTCAGCAGTAGGCAGCCCTTCCACTTCCTCTCGCCTTCATCCCACCGGCATTAAAAAAAAAAAAAAAAAAAGAAAAGTTTGCTGCCTTTAATAATTGTATTTCAGCACAGGTTAATTAACAGACCTTGACAGGCGTGATTGTAAATTCAAGTGTAGACATAATTCTTCCTGTTGGATATTGGGAGCTGTTTTTAGTCATGTATCCATTTAGCTTCTGCACTAATCCACCTCCACCTCCAATAACAAGACACAAAAATGGTGCTTCTCTTTAGGAAGGCCAATAAAACACTGTGGAGAGGAGCTGCTTTGAAGATCTTATGAGTCAAGCTGATACATTTTTGGAACATCATGATGTTTAAGTTCCTTTTCTATTTTCTACCCAACTTCCCCTGAAAAAAAAATTAAAAAATCAAGATCCATTCTGGGATGAGAGACAGCATGCAAACTGTTAGTGGTTTAAGGAAACGAAGGGCACACGGAGCTCAGGCACCTGGTTGGAGAACGTGTGAGAAGGTGTCCCTGGTCCCACGCTTCAGGGCTGCTGAAAGCCCGGGGCGAGGAGAGCTGCACCCTGGGCAGAGCATCGCCCTGCTCGGTGCTCCGTGGGCGCTCAGCATCTTTCCTGGAAGTCTCTGGCACTGTTTTCTCCTGGAGACAGATGGGCTGTTTGCTTTGTGCCAGAGCAGCGGTTCCCGTGGCGGTTCCTACTGGGGATTTATCACCGGGTCCAGCAGTGGCAAAGCCCTTGGAGGGCCCTGGCCCTGCCTGCCAGCGCTGGCTGGTGCCCCGTGGCGCTGCAGCAGCCCGGGCACGCGCTGAGGGGCTCCCCCTCTGTCCTGCAGCTGTCTGTGTGCTGAGGTCTAGCTCAGGTCCTGGCGTGGCCACAGCCGAGCTCTCGGCTCGGCCCTGGAGCTGCTCCTGTCTGAGGCAAAGGGAATTAATTTGCAAGTGGGTTTTTTTGTTGTTCTTTTTTTTTTGGTGAGACGCGCATTAAAAGTCTAAATATAAAACGGCTCCCGCTCTGCCGTTATCCCATGATTTTTGTCAATCTGTTACAAAATAAGAAGCAGGCAGTTTCACTGGGGGAGATAGATTCTTTGCAAGCACCACCAGAGCGCTGAGCACTCGCGTTGCCGCTGGCCTTTTGGTGCTTGTTTCTCCAGGGCACCCTGAGCGAGCGCTCGTGGTGGTGCCGGCTGCGCCGGGCGCTGGCGCCGCGCGGTTTTGTGGAGGAGGAGCAGCTCCGGCCACCTGCGCTGTAGGGGTGATGGAAAGGAGTGCGGTGCCCTGAGCGAGGTCCGAGGGATCCCGGCGTGGTTTTGCTCAGCTCCGACGTGGTGGGTGAGTCAAAGCCCGGGGGTCTTTGTACTGTGGTCCCTGCGCTTCTGCTCTCAGGCAAAGGAGGGAGAAATCCGCAGAAGCGGTAGTGGGTGCACGGGAGCCCAGAGCCCATCTCCTCGTCGCGTTTCCCATGCAGACAGCAGACCCGAGACGGAGCTGAGGGTGCGTTTCTGGGCCAGCCGGGCGTGCGCGGGCGCTAATCTCCTTTCAGGGCAGTGCAGTTCTGCATCATGCCCTGCTCCAGCGCGATGGGCCCCGGGCTGGAGCTGGGTGCCGCTCGGTCGGGGCGGCAGGAGCAGCTCGCAGCGTGGCCTGGGGCAGAGCCCCACGGGCCGCTTGGGCAGCTCCCTGGGCTTCGCTCCATCGTGCAGCCCCGTCTCCTGGCAGGACAGGGACGAGGAGCTGACCGCGCTCCCGGGGCACC